GTTCGCACAAAGTTCAAGATATTATACATTAGAAATTTTATCAAGTAGAAAAGAACGTTCATTCATAACGTCTACAAGGTATTTTTTCACGATCTTATCTAAACTATTACCTAAGTCTGGAGAATACAAGTAACCCAGATCACCTATCATGAACTGTATTTGTGTTAAGGGCGGCAACTCTGAAAAACAGATATCCATTTTTAAACTCTCGAAACATGCTTGTGTGTCAGTACTCGTTCTTTTCCTGATAGCCGAGAAAGAAGGACAATCTAACATAACGTGAAAGATATTCTCAGTCGCATTTGAGGAACATAACTGACACTCGTTATTTGTTATCAGGTTCATTCGTTGAAGCGTTCCATTTATAGGCAGACAATTCGTTCTCGCCAAAAATTTTAGCCTTGTTGAGCGGAAGTCATCAACATTTGATAGATACGGTTGCTTACGTTTAACAACCACAAAGGATTGGTACAAGTTTAGGCTACTCTTTCCTAAAATATTAGATAGTTGAGTATTGGTCGTTTCGTTACCATAAAGTTAGGTTTCTAGTTTTTTACATTTTTCATTTCTGGACCTTTTATAGCTTACTATAGGGTATGGGTTTTGTTGAAAACCATACAGTTTTGTTTTAGTTATATAAAACCGAATTAAATTGTTTTGACATGATAAATTTGTAAACCCCCATGAAGTGTTTTAAAACTTGTATAGGAGTTATTCCTCAATTTCAAGAAAAAGCATCTACAGAAAAACATTTTTTCTAATTTTTTTGTTTACCGATAAATGTATAGATAAATGTATAGCCGATCAACATGACGCTTTTACACTTACAGCAGCAATATCAGGCGAGACACAGGGTTCCATGGAATATTTTACAAATTTATTACAAAAATACTGCTTCCGTTTGAGAACTTAGGATAAAAACAACAGGACCAAGTGGTTTGGGGATATCCCAATTATGTCCGAAATATCGAAACTTTTTAATACTTTTTGTTCTTATTATTGTCTGCCGTTCCCCTTTTTCATACCAAATAACTCTGAACAACCACTGGAACTTTAATTTGAACTTTAACTCAATGGATAGCGATACCCATACAAAGCACATTAAACAAACGATATATTGAAATCTGTTTAAATATAGAACATATTTTTTTCCGAATTGGTCACGTGGTTTTACCTCATCAAGTAATGGGATAACCACATCAAAGAATGACAGGACCACATCAAGTAATGAAACAAACACATCATGTAGTGTAAAATCGTAAAATTTTGAAACATCATTGCGTAATGTTAAAACCATATAAAGAATAGGCAAATCATCATTACAAAATAACAAAACCACATCATGTAATGAAACAACTACATAACGTTAAGGCACATTCACATCAAGTAATGTTAAAACCACATTGACTAATGACACAACCACATTAAATAATGGTGAAACCACATCGACTAATGACAAAACCATATTGAGTAATGACAAAACTATATCAAGTCAATACGAAACCATATCGTGTAATATCGAAATATCATTAAGTAATGACTATTCCATATTGAGTTATATCAAAACATCATTACGTAATGTCAAAACCATATTAAGTAAAGACAAAATATCATCAAGTAATAATAAAACAACATTAAGTAATATCAGAGTTCCACATAAGACAGCTGTGGCGTTCCATATTATTCAATATGTGTCATTTACCTAACTAACATAATTCCTCTTGTAAAACTGCATCTGCTATGCTTCCTTAATATGTATATGTATGTATGGATTTAAATGAAAATTCACGCAGACAAAGCTTACTTGACAAAAATAACCAAAATAAACTTAAACCACAGTGAGACAAGAAAGTCTGGTATGGTACAGGCACCAATAAATCAAATTATATGCATTAGAGCATGTTTCTCCTCGTTTTTCTATGAAGTAACCAAGTTATAACATGTACATAAATTCTAAATCGCACAATTAAAAAAAAAATATACCGCTCGCTTCACTTGTAAAGCACTCGCCTAAAAAAAAAACTCATTTTCAAGGAAACAATTTTTTTTTTTTAATTTCGCTTGCTCGCCCCATGTTTTTTGGAGCTTTTGTCTAAATAACTACAAATCAAATTGGTGTGGCCTAATATTAGTGTTAGGGTTAAGTATATAATTAAGGATAATAGTATATTAACCATCAGTGTTAAAAGTTCACACACCTTTGGTTTGTTATGTGGTTATGACATATACTCATCAAGTTCTGGTTATTGATAGGTTTTTGCTTAGAGTTCTTGTGTCAGTGGAAAAGATTAGATGAGTACTATAGTAATGATATATCGAAATGTCTTTAAACACAGTAGCTCCAAATGAAACTTTTGTTATTGGAAGCCATATTAATCATGTGAATCAGCTACATATTTTGTTCTTCTGATTCACATAATAAATATGGCTTCCAATAACAAAAGTTCCATTGGGAGCTACCTTGTTCAAAGACCTCTGATGTCGGTATATCATTTATATATTAATCTGCTTTAACAGAAGCACTTAATTCAACAATACTGGTTTTACCCAATTATCCAAGTTATACTGTAAGCAGGACTGGTGACGGCTTCTTAATTTATTAAAATTCTGCAGTTGGCCACAATTTTGTTTACTAGTATTTGGATTTCTGGTATGGAAAGAATACTGCTTATGAACGTGACTTTGCAGGCGGCAAATCCAATCTGACATCTTATTCGGAACACAACCCATCTGTTGTGAAAAAAATAACAATATGAAATATCAAAATACTCGATGAAAATTCATCAATTAATGCAAAACAACCAAACAAAACTTGAAAAGACAAACAAATGACACTAAACAGAGAGACAAGGTGAAGGATTGTTAATTACCACTCGAAAACTTAGATATACGGATAAAATATCACTGTACATGCGAATCGAGTTCAATAATTTCAATGTAAAATCGAAAACTAACATTGACTTGTTCACTCTGTGTTAGTAACTTAACTAAATGACAAACATATGTATTAAGTATCCCAATGTAAAAGGCATCCAGGCGAGAATTAAATCAATGCATACAATATAGCCCAAGTGTTTTAAGTGTCATTTGTTCGTATAAATGGTTTATTCTATCGGAAGTTATTTAACCAATCTGATTTCCAAACTTGTAAGTTTTCAGTTTATTAATTGTGTAGTTGTATCAAAACTTATACACCTTAATGCTTATAGTTGACCTTGACATGTAGTTCAGTGGTTGTCGTTGGTTCATGCCTGTCATATTTGTTTTTTCGTAAATTAAATTGTTATGAATTAGGCCAATAGTTTTCTCAATTGAATTGGTTCACATTTTTCATGTTGGGGCCTTTCATAGCCGACTATACGGTATGGGTTTTTCTCTTCCGGTTATCTGCGATTGCTTACATCCACTTCATTTGAACTTTGGTGGATAGTGGTCTCATTGGCAATCATACCTCATCTCCTTATTTTTTATCTTGAAACATTTTAACTCTTTCATGTTTGCCTTCATCGAATTTGGTTCGCTGAACGTGTAATGTAGTTCGCCTCCAAAAGAATGGATTGAGCGTGCTTGGTGAAGGTTACTCCAAGAACACGTGTAACGTATTCCGCCTCCAGGAAAATGGGTTGAGTGTACTTGATGATGATGATTCCAAGAAATGGTGCAACTTATTTCGCCCGCAGAAGAATGGACTGAGCGTACTTACATTGGTAAAGGTTATTCTTAGAACAAGTGAAATGTATTTCGCTTCCAGAATTATGGGTTGGGCGTACTTCGTGAAGGTTATTCCAATAACACGTGTAATGTATTTCGCCTCCAGTAGAATGGGTTGAGCGTACTTGATGAAGTTTGTCCCAAGAACACGTGTAATGTAATTCGCCTCCATTAGTATCGGTTGAGTGTACTAATCCTGATGAAGGTCTCCAGAAGTATTTGGTTGAGTTGACTTGATAAAAGTTATTCCAAGGACACGTGTTGTATCCACTGAAATCGATATAATAGGAATAAAAAGATATGTGGGGAATACGTAAATGAGATAGCATCTAAAAGATGCAAATAACCGAAAAAAAATATAGAAGTCAACATGCAATCTTCACCAATATATGATATATAGAATGCACTAGTTCAACCGAGTTGGTAATTGGAAAAGTTGTGGATAAATGCAACAGCAACTATTGAAAATCAAATAACATTAACGTTACAAAGTTATCTACTGTTGTCTGTGTTCTGCTCTTTTAACTGTGGCAGTGTTGTTATTCTCAAATTTTCATGTCTTTGTTTTGCTCTTTTAACTGTGGCAGTGTTGTTATTCTCAAATTTTCATGTCTTTGTTTTGCTCTTTTAACTGTGGCAGTGTTGTTATTCTCAATTTTTCATATCTTTGTTCTGCTCTTTTAACTGTGGCAGTGTTATTATTCTCAATTTTTCATACACAATATCATAGTATTACAATAATCAAAAATGCAATACGATCAACCTGATACAAGATGTGCTGTGTGCTTTTCTTCAAGTATTAAACCCCTCATCAGTAAAAAATCCTATCTAAAAGATCTGTTTTTGACCAACAGGAAGAACTACGAGGAACTGTAACGTGTCACACGGCATGGCATAACCAGATGAAGCTGGGTGTCTAATATCAAGAATTTATGACTTGTTTTTGCTAAAAACAATGCGACCAAAAGTGAGTTACGGGCAGACGGACAGTGGTAAAGCAAGATTGCCTTTTGGAGCGGGACAAAATAAAAAGTATGACAAAAATTTCAGTGTATATGACACGATATTGTGGAGAAACCTTTCTCTAGTAGGTTTGGTCAAACACTTTCGGAAGCCAAATAAATGAAACATAAAGAGCGTCAAACAGAAAATGTTTAACAGAATCCTTGTTTCAACATGCATCAAATAGCACTTTCCTGGACGGTATTTGTTAAACAAATAACTTCTCAGAACAAAAACATGTTTTACAATTGTGGGAGTTAATGGGGAGGAAATTTTACTGAAAGCAATTTAACAAAGAGCATTTTAATAACTAAATTGTCAATACTTTTTGTTACATATATTTACTAACATAACATATATATGCAGTATCATGCGCTACATAATAACGCCTTTCGTAAACGTTCAGCAAATATAAATATGAAATTTAACACAGTTCACAAAATCCATAAGTGACGATAAGTTTTAACAAGAAACGTATAAACAAGGGAGATCCATAATCATTGACCGCAGATCTAGTTTATGTGGTTCCGTTTCCAAAATGTTGACAATGGTACATTTTTATCTGTGCAATTAAAATTATAATAAGTCTTTACAAACTAATGAAACTTTTAAAATGTATGAATTGATTATTGCAATATTTTGATCAATTTTTTTTTATTCCATTTTACTGTGAAATGGATTATTTTTGTTTGCATATGGCTGCATTAACCTTAAACACAATTCAGGTGGAAAGGGGCGGATATCTATGTTAGATTGAGGCCATGAAAAGGGGTTTTATTTTTTCAAATGTATACGTGGTTCTTCTATTTCTATTTGATCTTTTTTTCATTTAAATTTATAAACTGACATACAGCTCCATTCAATTGTTCTCTTTTAAAGTAAGGGAAAGGTTGTCCAAGATGATTTCGAAATACTGTGTATGAACGTTGAAAAACTTTTGCATATTAGTGCTAACATCTTCAGTTGGTGTTAGTTTTATTTGAATAACTTATAAACTTTTAAAATTCTACAAACACAAAAAAAGTCCAACGATCAACTAAAAATCCTTCAACATGCACATACAAAGCTTTGGTTAATCTTTAAAAAGATCTGATCGAAGATTGACGATTGTGAATCATATCCTATTTAGATTCACCAATCACAAAATTTGTAGTTTTCAAAAAAAAACGATGTCATATTAATTTGGTGTCTAAAAGCACGGTGGTTTCATATCATCATTAAATAACAGATTTTCGTTAAATATTTAATATAGTTTTTAAATTTGGTGAAAAATTACAAAATGGGCATTCTGGTGGACACATACTAATTTTCACTGCAAAATAATCTAACGGATGAGGACAATTAGCATTATTAAGATATCATTATAACATAAATAAAAACTTAATTAACATTAAACATAAACAAAATGTAAGTTTAAAATTTTATCTAAACATTTTCTTTACAAAAATAGAATCATTTAAAAAATATAAGCATTATCTAACAATAAAACTAGAAATTAAACATATTTCTTATTTTAAAACATAAATCAGCAACAACAGACAATAGCATTATTACAAAAAACAGCAGTTGAAACAATAAAAAATTAACACGGTTTAAGAATACTTTGAATTTCTACAATAACACACATTTCGACAACATTAAATACGACAAATTAAATCACATATATGGTTTTTGCTATAACATGATATATAAACATAACAATATAACAGACAATTTCTAAAAAGATATCTTTAAGTTATATAAATACAAAACCCTATTGTATATACTATGTTATGATTGAGGATAACTTATACCGAAAAATATTCCAAAGCCATGGCATTGTTCCGGTGATATTTAAAGCAAAACTACGAATATAACATATTGTCTTGTATTTCTTTATTTCAAGGTTCCTGATGAAAAATCGAAGGAAATTTGAATTATTTTAACGGTGTATTAAATGTTTAATCAAAGATTTGGACAAGTTTACTTATTTAGAATTTGCAGTTAATTTATAACGCGTCTGATAGCTGATTCTTTGTATCACGGGGTGTGGGGTACAAGTCAACGAGACAGCAACCCAACAACATAAAATGCAAAGAGAGCAAGAGTTGAATGTTTGAATCATGATTTTCGTATTCCATAAAAATCAGGAAAACTCTAAAATATTGGTACCGGCCTTCTATCATACCAAATTGTCATAGCATTCAAATTTCAGAAGAATTTATAAACTATTAAAAAACAAAGCTTTAAACGACGACGTATGAATACAAATTGATCAATTTCGTTATTTTCAATGTAACATGGTTGAAGTGTATTCAAACAAGTTTATATTAAATGCAACTTAGTTGTAAATCAACTTTCATTCTTTCAAGTGTCGAATTATATTTAGTTTTTTAAATGTTATGAACATTTCTTGTATGGAACGGTTTAAGTGAGGCAATTTTATTAACTTGTTAGCGGAATGTCATTGCCTGATAAAATTGAGCATTTGCAAAGAAAATAGGCAAAATGGTTGTATTACAGAAAAATTTCGGGACAATACCATTTGCGTCGGAATATCACTCGATATTGGACGGGATCTTTGTAATCATAACAAGTGCATTGATAGATAAAATGTACATAAATATGAAAAAATACAAAGTCATTCATACGTAAGTATCATAACTTGTCTGCCTCGTCTATCCAGAAAAAAAAAGAATCTTCCTGAGTATTACTTGCCTCAGATATTGAATACAAATTTCTGTACTTCAAAAGCACAAGTCAAATAATAAAATTTCTTCTGTTTTCCTGACCAAAAATGGTCTTAAAAAGAATCTCAAAATTATTTAATAAACTATTTTAGTTTTTAAATATCGTCCTTTTCCTTAATTTTGAAATAGGGATACGAATAATGCAGTAAAAATTGCATGCTAATACTCAATTATCACTGTATAAATTGAATTCACATAACCATTTGGTCTTCAAATCTGAAGACATTGTTATCAGCCTAAAAGAAGGTCAGAATGTCTTCCTTTATAATAATTTCTATCAAATACAATGTCTGAATTTAGAGAAAATTCGTGTCATATGTAAAAAAAAATATCTGTGTATATCACAGCTGGCCATTTCATTCCGGATGATGATTCATTTCTACTCCGGAACAGGTATACCGTCAATTGTGAGCATCTGGTTTACTGTAGCGTTACTACATCCGGCACTCTGTAGAGAAATCCTAGCTTTGTGGGCTCCAACGCAAAAATCAACGGTAGCATCGCTGGCATCGTCGTCTGGAAAATTGTTCTGAAAGATAAAAAAAATAATATGCAATTGCAATTACAATGTAAGTGTATGACTTTTGTGTACACTTCTGTTTTTTCTTTTTAAAAATTAAAATGTTTTCTCGTGTATACACTCATTGACATGTTCAACAAGTTTCAAACATATTTTAAATGTGGATATTTTCCAGAATTATATACGATAATGTAAGAGGCAGATGGAAAAAAATCCGGGATAGAAGAGCTAGATTGATCAGTAGTTTAGACCTGTAAAAGTTTAATCCGCTTCCAAAATGCACAGAAGTTATTAGATAAAAAAAACCGTACTAGTATGTAATTCAAAGTAAATAGCTACCGACCAAGTAAGCTAGAGAAAATAAACATTAACCTGGGATATGCAAAAATCTTCAGTTTAGCTGGGTTTTTTTTTATTGATGGTAAGGAAATAACGCCTTGAAATATACTTTGAAATAGTTAAGTCTGCAGGTGATACTTAATTGTATTTAGTTTTAACATATAAACATAAAAGAGAGCATACTATACGATTTCATACTTCTGATTTAAATAGGTTTAGGTCGATATACTAGTAAGCGTATTCTATAAAATGGTAAATCTTAGATAGCAACATGATTCGTAACCGATAATGACAAACTAGTCAACTTGTCTCCTGCATATTGCTGTTTTGTTATTTCAGTAGTATGTCTTCTACATTGTGGAAGTAGAGACAATATTTGCAAACACAGTTTGTATGCTATTTTTTCAAAATACCACAATTTTCTTACAATGATGGCGCCAGGAAACTAACCTACAAATCGATTATTTTGCAGAATACTGGTGTCCCCTTACGGCATACTAGTAATCTGTGAAAAAGAACTCGAATGGAATTATTTACTTATCATGTCAGGTCTGACTTGAGATACCTGTATTCTTTTCGTATGTAACAAAATGATCTCCAAGTCTCGTGCCAAGCAGACGACAACTATTGGATAACTTTAATCAATGGATTATATTGCAGAATGTAGATAACAAAATCGTTATTTCAATGAAAATGTATATTCGAGACAATATCAAAAGTTATAATATTCAATTTCGTCCTATGATCGATTTATGTATCATATATTTAAGTTTTGTCTGCTCATATATCGCCTATAAGCAAAAAATCATTGAATTAATGCATCGTTGTCGGTTTTACCTGAAGAGAGGAATCCCACGGAGATTCCATCAATATTGAAGGTATTAGCATCAATGGAAATGACTTCATGCTGATTTTTCTTGTTAGACTATAGAGTTTTTGTTTCATAACATGATTGAACTTTGTCGGATGATCTAATCTAGAGTACAACTTGTATCATTTCTTTAAACATATAAAGAGAACTTGGAAAATGAAATGGCATATTGTTTTATATCGATGATGCAAACTATCTGGAATTTCCAGATATTAAATAACATTATCAATATTCAAATGGTCTGTGTCAAAAAATGTAGTGGATGGAAAGTTTAGAATACCATCATCTCCAGAATCTTATTCAAAAAGATCTTTGCTTTGTAAATACAAAATAGCAATGATCTCATAAATGACTAATTTTTCAATAAATAGTTTACAATACATCAGAATTGTGTGCGATGATAAATAAAGGTTCATGTGCTATATTTCAGTCACAAACGGTTAACAAATATCCTTTTTGGTGGGAAAAGGTTAACTACCCATGCTTAATTGTATTTTGAAAGTCTTAAGGATAATGGTGAAATCAAAGGTTTTTCTACAAGTATCACATAAACTTAACATCAATGGTCCATGACAATGAATTCAAGGTCAGACCGACCATGCCAGACAGTCATGAACACTTTATAATCATTCCATAATCACCAAATATAGTTGACCTACTGCTAATAGTATGTGAGAAACGGACCTTTTCACGTAACTTTAAACCTTGATCACTGATCCATGAAATGAGGTCGAGGTCATGTGACCCTATCTGATGAACATGTAAACCTTGCAAGGAACCCATATACCAAAAATAGTTGTGATATTATTTATAGCAAGTACTGTGTGAAATTCACATGCCAATAAAACTAAACACGTTTTAAGCAGTCGCTGAACCATGAAAACGGGGTCAAGGAAAATGGACAGACTTGAACTTCGTCACATAAGGCATCCGTTTACTAGGTATGAAGCATTCAGGTCTTCTACCCTCTAAAGTATAAATATAAAAAGAAGATGTGGTATGATTGCCAGTGAGACAACTATCCACAATAGACCAAATGACACAGAAATTAACAACTATGGGTCACCGTACGGCCTTCAACAATGAGCAAAGCCCATACCGCATAGTCAGCTATAATTATAAAGCTTTCTACAAATAGTTTGCGCCGCCGCCGCCAAAAAGTTATCACTATGTCTTGCAATCTGCGACTTTCGTCGCACGCGAGGCAAACACCAAATAGACCCTGAACAGAAGACCCAATATTGTCCGAGGCTAAGTTCATCTGTTGGAGCTATAAACTCAGTTTTGACTTGAAAAAATGTTTATTACATTTTTTCTATATTACTTAATAATTTAGAATTTAATTATAAAGTTTTCAAACTTTAATCAATATACACTGCCAATGTTGATATTTCACAGCGAATTAAATATGAATAATGCTTAATGAGATATGTAGGTTTTCATGTTCAGTTATGATAATTTAACTGTACAGGGACATGATATTTATACAGTTCGCATTGCCTGCGTCAACTGTAACTTCCTTACTCTTAGTATAAACAGACAAACGTAGGAGTAAAAACAAGTTTAACCTTTCTAAAAAGGTAAGTAGTGTATAATATGATATCAGTATGAAGCAATGATCGTTGATTGGGTCTTGAGTACCCATACTATGATTTTATTTCTTTTTATTCCGTTTGTAATATCTTCTCCTGTACCTCACATTAGCCAATAAAACCTTAGCCACAGAATAAATCCACCAATCAGAACCGGTCTTTGTTAAGTTATGATTTCAAGATGGCGTGAATATCGAATGAAAATAATAGCTTCGGATCGTGATGCGAAGCAACAATCTCATCTCTAAAATCTAAACGGAACGATATCTGGTAGGTTGACAGAATAACTAGTTTTTGATATCTATGAATTGCCCGTCGTACAATTCCAAACGGTCATAACCAGTAGCACGTGACAAAGACAAGAACATGACGAAACCCGATAACAATGCCACATTGACGATGTTGTACAAATCACCACTATAAAATAAGAAGATGTGGTATGATTGCCAATGAGACAACTATTCACCGGAATGACATGGTCGTAAACCACTTAAGGTTTAGAATCTAATACTTTCTGGAAAATATTTATGAAAAAAACTGTCGTGATTGGACTGGATAAATTACTTTTTGTCCCGTTTTGAGATCTCGTTACTTTACTAATAAATGGATAGGAAAATTTAACTCTTAATCAAAATACGTCCTTATTTCAAAAAAAAGTCTTGCATTTTATTCGAAAAAGTTAACGTTTTGACCTTTAAAAAGATATCTTCCTATCGTTTATGGATTTTTGTAGTTTAGTATGTCGATGAATAAGTATTTTGACGTAGAATTGTTATTTATCTATTTGGGAAATTGTGAACTTTTTTCTATAACTATTGTACAAATTAAAAATTTTCAATGTTATTTAGGAGAGGAATATCTAAGTTGTTATAACTTGCGTCTGATCATTTTTGTATAAATATATGTAATTGCATATAAAATATGATAGGACGTGAAGTTATATTCTTTTTCAAGTATAACTAATTATAAAATTTTTATTCTAAAAATGCATAATTAAAATTCAATTATCTTTTATTTGTTTTCTATTACTATTAGCTTTTATTTTTCCTTAGTGCTGGTTCTGCATGCACGATTAGAATGATACATGGTCAATTTTCCAACTGTTTTCTCAGAACAGGTCATAATTTTTATTAAGTTGACGCGTCGATCGACTTAAATTTATAATTCTTGAAATACCCGCCCACCCAGCCCTATTTAAAAAAAAAATTATAATTATATAATTTTATTCAGAATTTTTTCTCCCGTGTGTTTAGCAGGTTTTTTGAAAGATAGGTTTTTGTACCTTCTGTTTGAGTAAGTTACATGTACTTGTATTGTGACTGTCATTTGTTTTTTTGTGTTGTGTGTATAGTTTATGTTGTGTAGACTTGTAAGTTTTTGAGATGCTGATCCAAGCCTAATAAATGTTTTTACATACTTTTCTTTTGTTTGAAATTTGCCAGAGAGATTTAAAAGATTGAAGAGTTATTGGTAAAAAAAAATAAGATGTCGGTTATGATTGCCAATAAGACAACTCTCCACTAGCGTCCAATATGACTTTAAAATGTCAAAATGAAATAAGTTATCCATAGTCCCCTATTATATTTAAAACGGCGATTTTGCAATCTATTATAAAACCTCAAGCAGGTTCTGAATGGGAAACACTTTAATAATCGCAATTACGACTGTAGATTTAGTTTAAGTTAAAAAGCTTTCTTTCTCATGAACTAATGATGGTTAAGTTGTTTTCAACTAAAAGTATATATCTTGATGATGAAAATATAATCTTTGAAAATAAGATGGCAGGAATCTGATCAATACCTTGAAAATTTTACAATTTTTTTTAAATTTGAATTATTGGCATATGTCAAATATTTTATAACTTGAAAAATAAAACTCGCGATGTGGATTATTTTTTTCTTAAGATAAATTAAAACTAAACTGTTAACCGAAAAAAATCTTTGAAAGAGCAAATTATTGCAATCTGGAATTCTTGAGAAAAAAAAAGTAAAGAAATCAACAAAACTAGTCAAAAGATAAGTTTCAATTTAACTTCTTAATAAAGAATTCGAAGTTAAAATTAAAATGTTTTCTGTAACAGTGGCAGCTTCTCTTCCACTATGTAACATATTTTGGTTTTATCCTAGATCTTTTTCGGTAATATCAAATATCTTTTTCGAAACAAAATATTTTCAGATATATCTATTACTATTCAATTTTTCATACAGTTTAACATTTACATATAAAAAATCCAGAGACTAGACTTTTGTGCCAACATTCGACTATTTAAAAATTATTTTACCTCCAAGCCTAGCACGTATAATTTTCTTTGTTTTCGATAATACTGATACCTTATGCCTTATTCCTTATTAAAATGATCCAATTCAAAAAAAAAATATCTATAATTTCTGTAGCAATCATCCTTCAATGCATATTATTTAACATGGAATTAGCGCAGAACATGGAATCTTACCAAGCAGTCCATTTCCTCTCCGTTAAGGTAGACATCAAGCGTATCTTTATCTGAAAAATGTCAAAAAGAATTATTCATTACTATCTGAATTAGTTTATTAATAAATGCAAATTGTACCGAATATCAATATAGTCTCAGTGTCTTTAATGTATTTGAAATTTTGTGTGCAGGGATTATACATATTTTATGGTTTATTCCAGTTTGATTATTGTCTCGGTTTTCATTAATAATATATTCTTATCGACTGTCTTCTGCTGTCGGCTATTCTAGGAATGAAGTGATTAGAATGCGACTTACTTATAGTGATTTGTTGATTTTATTTCGTATGGGAAGATGTTCTGGACCCATTTCGTCTATTCAAATGGGCTTGGTGCAATTTCTGACAAAGTCTCAAAGTATTGACAGCTACTTTTATATCAACCTTTCAACTTTAAGTTGAGCGAACAAAAACCATTGCTTCTTAACTTTTTATAGTTAACAAGTTCACTCAACTTTTCATACCACAGGAACCGTATAGTATAATTGTGACGTCGGGGCTCCATTTACCTCTCATATATTATCATCTCCTCTAGAACTACTTGTTCAATTTGAAACAAATATCTAACAAAGAATTCTTTACACAGTTATTCCATTTCTTTAGATATGTCTACAAATATTGCCTCTTAAGTCAATTCTTATTACTAATTGGTAAATTTTCATATCTTTTGTGTTGATCTTCAAATCAAATCTTTTTAAAATTTGTACATTATCGAATATGTAAAAAAAACTAATTTGAATATCAAGTTGTAATTGTTTTCGCTCATATAAAGTTAATCATTAAAGTACTAATAGTGAAATGCAAATGAAATTCAGTCAAGAGATACATGCACACGAAATAAGTTGCATTGATTACTGAGTCTGTCACTCAGTGGTTGTCGTTGGTTGTTGTTTGTCAAATTTGTTTTTCGTTTATTGTTTTGCCATTACTCAGGTTTTGTTTTTTTGATTGTTCGAACTGTTTCACATTGTGTCATGTCGGGTCCTTTTATAGCTGAATAATTTACGGGTTTTGCTACTTATTGAAGGCCGTACGGTGACCAATAGTTGTTTAAATCCGCTTCATTTGGATTCTAATGTTAGATAGTTTTATAATTGACAATCATATCATATCTCATTATTTTATATGTTTTCTTCAAGTTAATGAGTTTATTGAACTTGTCGTCTATTTTTGGTTAATTTATCGTGAATACGAAATCTCGGTTGTATTTTCGAAAGAGAACGGATATAGACAAGATCACTGCGATATCAGAATAATTTTCCCATTATTTGAGTTGTGTTCTCAAAATAACTTGTTTTAATTTTATTGTTTTCTTATGTCGTCAGAATTTTTTTATTTTCATAAAATCAATCTTCCTCCAGTATCTCTTCCATTAAGACATCAATAAACATAAACCGTCACTCAATACAGTGATAATCGCAGGAAATCTATTTCATTTCAAATTAACAACATCATAACGGAACTCTAGTGTACAGAACTACAATCATAGCATTTCATAAATGTGGTTTATAGATCGATTGCTTTTATAACTTGTAATAAAATCCAAAATCAAAGTATGTTTTGGCTAGAGCCAATTCTAAAGCTTGACCAATATTTGATCAGCCCAGCATGTCTTTCTGACGTCACTTCCTGTCTGCTTAAAAAAAAACTCCGGAAGCAAGAACAAAGAAGCACAGCAGCAATTCCTTCTTCCTTTAAAGAAGAGAACTAATTTGAAAACATATGATACGAATGATGATTTTTCAAAATCATTTATATAATTAAAAGATGAAAAAGGCTTGTAAATTGAAATGCTGTAAAAATTAAAAGAGACCAACTTAATCTCTTTAATTGCATGTTTCTAGGAGTTCATCGGGTATATTAGACTATATTTATTGAAATCAATACATAGAAATGTAACTTAGACACCAATAAGTACTTCCTCTAAATATAAACAAATACGAAAGCAACACACTATAGATCAGCATAATGAGAAAAGAAAGAGATAAAACTGACGGTAGTTCAATGGTTTAAGAAACCACAAAACTGTAAATCTATTAGAAGGAAAAAATGGAATTTTTTGTGTGATGGCTAGAAGAATGTCGTAGTAACTGAATCAAGGAAAACACAAGATCGTGTACAATGCGTACGGTATATCCAAAAAACCAAGGACAAACTCTGAATCACAAGACACATATGTGCAAATGAATAGTAATATTTTTTGCTGACATAAATATTTGCGTAAACATGATGTTGGACATATAACTTAAATTCATGCATGTAACATCTGTATTCAAAAGGTATATTGCGACCCTAAAATACCAGAATCAAAACAACAATATACGGGACAATACAAATTCACATCAAGACACACTAGAAAGGGTAGGTGTAACAAGACAAGCAATTGCAATCTGTTCCCATGTAATCATATCCAATAGTTTATCAATTAAACCAAATTTAAGAAAGCCACATTCTGAAAAAAGATCTCTAGTCGTCTTCGTGACAATAACTGTGGATTAGTCAAACAACACATGATGCCAACTTTGTGTTAATATGACATCAACAGGGTTGTTTCTGAAACATTTAATTTGTCAAGATATGTGAAATTTTGGTTTAATTGATAAATAAGAAACATTTTACCGGTAAATAATAGCTGGCTTTACACTTGTTTTCTATTTGTAAGGTGATTTAGAACATGACAAGTCCTTGACTTAACCGATCACTTTTTAATTTGAATTGAGCATTATTCTGACCAGAGACAAAAGGCCCCAGTTGTTTGTCGATTATCAAATATCGTTGATCCTTCTGAATATACAAACCAAGATAAAAGCAAACAAACCAACAAAGAACCACAGGGAATAGCTTAAACTCCAAACGGAGTGCGACCGGATGTACAGACAGAATTTGTATCAACCACCAATCGAATTCAGACTTAGTCAAAATATAACGATATGAAATAAGACAAAATCAGTTTATCTACAGATCATATATATTGTTTATTTAAATTTGAGGGTTATATGTATTATTATACTATTATACCAAACAAACAACTTTAAAGATCTGTGTAATTTTTTTTTCTGCTACACAGACATGCTTAAATCCTTAAAATATGCCATGCTTGGTATGTATAGTAATCAGACAATATTTTATTGAAATATCAGAGTTACGCACCTCAATCAGTTCTAAAATCAGTAGGTCCAGCTACAGAAATTGTTGTGAAACCGTCTGAAACCGCATGAACTCCAATAGGAGAGAGACTAGGGAGCGTAGAAGTGTAATCAAACCCATTCAACTTACTATGTTCTCCGCTGTGGGGACATAGTGTTATTATAGGTTTCAAATTTATGCGAAACCAGTAACGACAACGGGATCAGTGTCTACTTTTGTGTAATCACACAACGGGATCAGTGTTTACTATTGTGTAATCACACAACGGGATCAGTGTTTACTATTGTGTAATCACTCAACGGGATCAGTGTTTACTATTGTGTAATCACACAACGGGTTTACTTTTGTGTAATCACACAACGGTACCAATTTTTCCTCACCAGATGCGCAATTCGACAATAATATCTTTCCAGTGATACCCAAGGCCAAATATTTGTAAATTTAAGACTTATTTAGAAAGAATTAAGCGCTTAAAAACCAAAAAGGATCAAAAGTATTGCCGAAGCCAAGCAAGGAATCAGAGCTTTGGATGAGTGATATATATTCCTTAATCTATTTAAAACAATTTCCAAAAGAGTTGGTTTGCTAATAAAGATGAATGTTTTAGATCTTGATTAGAACTTACAGAATACGATGCTATATGGTTCTTCATCAAGGAGAAAAGTCCAGATTTTTGTAGCTGGTTCTCCATCTTGGTCAGGTGGCAGGTATTGTGCTTCCGGTATATCCACTGGATTAGATATGGGATTGTTATTGTCTATTTGTGATTCTTCGTATAATCTTGCTTGTTGTTGTTCTTTCCTTTCACGTCTGAAATTAAAATTTTCTTTTTATATATCACATAGCTACGTCAACTGAAAGTCGTAGAGCTGTCAATGTAATGAAAAGGCGTGAGAATTATTCGTTCCCATCTAAAAAATTTACAACCAAACCAACATGTATTGCAAGCAAGCAAATCGTTTTGCTCAAATAAAAAAAAAACGTGGACTTTTTACCGATATTTACATATTTACACCGAGATGTTACTAAATTTAATTGGATATTCTGAATATATCCCTTTTTCCATACAGAAAGTCAAATTTCTGAAAGATATCCCTCATATATTATTGAAATCTATCTTTTTGCATCTTTTGCATTAACCATTAAATCATAGTGTTAATTAAACACACCCAATCGGTCTAACGCCCTCATGTGTGTATCTAATACATTATGCTTTCTATTCGTAACTCTTCAATGCATTTCTTTGCTACACAAATATTTCCGTTGTTTCTTGTGTTTACATGCTTGCTTTTCCGTCACAATAATTACGTCAGTAACTGTGTCAAATCAAAAGCAGAATAGGAAAATAGAAAAGTTTTCAAATTAATTGCGTAAATAGATTTAATTTGTGTGTGTTTTTGATGTAAAAATACTGTTTAATTGGAAAATGAGTCCAATTATAGCAATTTTATTCAACATGTCGTGGGAAAAAAACAGTAAATCATTCAATGACAACCAAAAAGGTATAATTTTTACATTAGGTTCTAGTTTTGAGTGTCCATGTAAAAGATTCGACATACATTTTTTACACAGACACTATAGCAATCGACAATACATTGTATACTTGATACAAGAAAAAGCTTTTAGACAGAAATAATTTTTTAATCGTATCGTTTCCTCTAATTATCTGTTTTCGATCATATTCATGACATATCAGAGCTTTTGTTTTGTTTTTGTTTTTGTTTTTGTTTTTGTTTCTTTCGGTTCCTGAAAAAGTAATGGTAAAGTTTAGTATCAAATTAGTTTTCATTTAAAATTATCTTTTCAAAAATAGCATGTACTTCCGTTTGCTTCTTTAAATACGTACAGGGAAAAATAATTGAAACATTTAATTTTAGGTCAAAATTACTTTTTAGGTCAAAATTACTATCTATTTATAAGCTTTATTTGTGAACACTGAAGTACAAAAACTGAACTTCTTTTAGTTTCTAAACTTCTTTAATTCTAGGATTTCTGATGCAAGTTAATCTAGAAAATGGTTCAAATAAATCAAACTGGTTTGTTTTAATTTCATGACATTCGTAAGTACTAACATATTTGCATATATATGCTTTCAACAATCATTACTTTAAAATTTTGCATAGATTTAACATAAAATTATGAAAGAGCTACATGATTCTTTCATTTTTTTGCGTAATTAATTTATTCTCCTTTCTGTGGAGATTTTAGAATCTTTTTTCGTTAATGAAGCGCGTTAAATTTTTTCACGACAACCTAACGTTTTCTGTGACTTTTTCACCGCTTAGACAGAGATAATCAGATATTGATTGAATGAATTTGGGTGTTTTAATGCCACTCTCAACACTTTTCGCTGTTTCATGGTGGTCACTTTTTTATTGGTGGAGGAAGGCGGAGTACCCGGAAAGAACCACCGGCCTTCGGCAGGAAAATTGTCAATCCTTGTCAATTTAGATTGGAGTCGAACGCATTTGTCACGTACGGGGTTCGAACTCACAACCTCAGTATCACAAACAGACAAGACTAACAATAAGTGAACTTCTCAGACCACTCGGCCACCGAGGCTCCTCTTGGTCAGAGAAGGACAGTATCTTCGTATAGATTTAGAGCATAGAAACAAACACACAAAAAGCGACCAGATAAACAAGCATTGTTTTACATTCCCCCCTTTTTTATTTATATTGTATCTATATTGTGTCATAGATCAAATTTATTTGTTCGGTGTATTTTTTATTGGTTTTGTTCATATGTCTTTTTGATTGAGTTAAGCCATTTCAATTGATATTTCATAGTGTGTCTTTCTATGTAATGTTACACTACTGTTCCAGGTTAGGGTGAAGGTTGGCGCCTGTTAAAACATTTAAACCCGCTGCATTTGTTTGCACCTCTCCTAATTCAGGAACCTGTTGTTCAGTGGTTGGCGTTTGTTGATGTGGTTCATAAGTGTTTCTCGTTTCTCGTTTTTTATATAGATTAGACCGTTGTTTTTTTCCTGTTTGAATTGGTTTACAATAGTCATTTTGGGGCCCTTTATAGCGAGCCAAGGCTCCGTGTTGAAGGCCGTACTTTGACCTATAATTGTTTAATTTTTACACATTGACATGGATGGAGAGTTGTCTCGTTGGCACTCATACCACATCTTCTTATTTCTATTAAACTAGAATTCATAAAAGCAATTTATTAATTTTAGTTTTAGAATGAGATTTTTCGCTGTTCAGACAAATTTCGTCTAAAACTGTTACTGTTCAAACGTGTCAATATGATATTTTGATTAATGAAAACCATGAAACACAATTGAAATATCGTTCACGAGGAGATGATGATGAAATGTAATTACTTTTATCCTATCAAATTAATGCAGTCACCTTGAGTAATATAAATTGTGATATTAATTGTACAAACCTGAACTCCCACGCGATTCTGGTAAATGTCAAATGGTCTATTATATAATCTACACTATTTCGTGCCATTAGAAAATTATTTACCAGTAGTAAATATTTGAATTAAAACTTCGAGAAAATTGCAATTATACGTAACTGTTATTACAACGTCATTAGAATTCCTTAACTTGGGTTACTACGTCATGGAATACATATTCAAGAAAAGGCATTACTATGAATATATAATGTATTATATTATTCACTTCCTTTTTATCAATTATGAATACATACTTCATGTAACCATTCAAGAAAAAGCATTACTATGAATATATGATATATGTATCATTTATTTGTATCACTTCCTTTTATCAATTATATTATTATTTATTCATTTATGTTTTGTCTCTGCAATTATCATATACTGAATTTTAAAGTTATGTAGGTTTTGTTATTTTTTCATTCTTAAAAAGGGGTATTAATCATCTTGCATATACCTACAATCCACATATACAATGTAATTGTAATATGAAATAAGGAAATATGAATAACTGAAAATCATTTAAGATATGAAAAAAAAAATCGGAATTAAATGCAAGTAACTAAAATTATTTAGAAATAAACATATTAATAAATTTTGATCCTGTCCGTTACATTTGGCAAAAGCAACAGTGCTTAAATATATCACAAACAAACCTTTTTAAGGATCAAATAATATGAAAACCCTAAGTCACAATAAATGTTTTATAATATATCAGGCAGATTACCCCAAATGGCTAACAAACAGCAATATATCACAAGTATACAAGAGCCCAGCAGCAAATGCAAGTACGATTCAACAAAAATGAAATGGAAATATGAAAAAGAAAAAGAGGAGTTGTGATAAGTACGCCAATGAAACAGAAACCAAACAAAAATGAATATCTACTAAGGCAATCTTCAGTCTTTAACAATAGAAAAGAGTTTATATAGTATATCATGGTTATGGCACGCCATAACAACTTTTAATAATTAATCCTAGTTTATCTCCGACAAAGCGGGATTATCTCAGCTGATACATGGCTGCTCTAAGCTTATAAATGGTTGCTATAAATCGTCGTTTTAATAAAAGTTGTCCAAAATAAGCACATGAGCAAATTATGACTAAGAAGAGTTTTGGAATATACGTCAATGAGACGGCAACCGAATGACAAAAATAGAAAAAAGACACCTATGCAACATACATTCAACAATAGACAGGTGTTTATACAATTTGTCATGCTTTAAAGGGGCACATCTTCTTTTTATATTAGCTAGCTATAAAACCAGGTTTAATCCACCATTTTCTTCATAAGGAAATGCCTGTACCAAGTCAGGAATTATGACAGTTGTTTTCCATTCGTTTGATGTGTTTTGATTTTGCCATTTGATAAGGGACTTTCCGTTTTGAATTTTCCTTGGAGTTCGGTAATTTTTTTATTTTACTTTTAACAAATGACTTATTTAAAGAAAATAAATGGGGAATGTGTCCATGGGACACAAATGATACCCCCACTTGCATATCGTATAAAATTATAAAGGGACATAACTGAAGAACGGTAGAAGTGACGCTATCCAAATTTGTACTTGATCTGATTTTGTGGTAATAAGTATTGTGTATAAGTACTAGAGAACGGAAACGAAAAATTCACCAATTTTTCCATTTGTAAAGGGGCATAACTCTAGAACAGTAAAAGTGACACCCCTAAAATTCAAAATTGATCTGTATTTTGTGGTAATAAGCATTGTGTATAAGTTTCATAACATTTGGTCGAGGCAAACTAAAGTTAGAGAACGGAAACCAAAATTGGCGAGGGCATGAATATGATTTTTTTTCAACATTAATAAAAGCGGTATTGTGAAATAATATTTCAATTTTATTAAAATAAGATGAATAACATCCCTGGTGTATCATATTTGGCTGTCAAGTTAATAATTCAACCTAGTTTGAATCCATATTCTTTTGACCTTCAATTTGACCCTTAGCTGGAGAAGGGTTACGCATGTGCAAAGCGTGTTAAGTCATTAAAAAGAAAACAAATATAGACATTGACTTGGATGGAGAGTTGTCTCATTGGCACTCATACCACATCTTCTTATATCTATTGAAAAGTGAACCAGGGAACCACCGGGAAAACAATTTTGTTGACTGATTCTGCCCACTAAAATGCATTCTTGTATAGGTAAAACGATGATTTACACATCTTTTATCTGTGACATGACATCAAACAGACCTAGAAATTATTATTATACGATTGCACATGCTTGTTTGTGCATTTATATTTTTATTTATGTTTACATCAGGTCATATTATCAGCATCGACATTTTTCGGAGGTCACCTCGATGTTTCATTAGATGGCGTCTAGTCTAAAATACACAAAAGCTGGAATATTATATTGAGTTCTTGCGTTTTTACT